TGTCAGACAACATTACCAGTGGAGTGTTGTGCCTCCTCATTTTTTCTAGCTCAGGATAATATCAATGAAATTACAACAGGTGTCAATAGATGTGCCATACCTGTTTGTCATATATGATCTGCGATTTCTGCAAGTAGTGTGTATTAGTGTAAAAGCTTGTTGACGTATCACACAGATCAAGTGCTCTCCACACTCTACTCGAGATATTTTTATTACAGTGTTAAAAAATGGTAAGGGTTAGTTATTTGCCATGGTTAGTCTAGGTTAACTAACCCAGAGATGAAACATCCATATGTAAGTTAAGTCTAAACTAGTAGTTATTCTTTACTGTCATACTAGAAAACCGGGGATGCAGTGGATTGTATGTGGACTTCAAGCTTTCTTATAGGTCTTCGTGACTGTTTGCTCAGTCTGTTAGTTTACTTAGTTGTAATATTCGAACTAACTAACAACTGTCCGTTCCTGTATCACGTTGAGCTTTGTTTGTAATGCGATCATATATTTGATCTCCATTCAAAAGTTTTCAAATTATCAAACTCATTAATGGTAATCGGAAGCACACCATTTACTTCACACTATTCGGCCAAAAATCGGATACGCAGCTATTTTCAACAACGTCTGACATAGGTAACTAAGTACACTACTGCGGAGTATGTTGAGGAAGGTTTCATTAGTACCAAGCGGTATGATCCGAAGACGATGAATCTGCAGGATACAAGCATAATTATAAAACGGCTTCACAACTTGTGGGAATTTTGTAATGCAGTACTAATTGGACTTTAGATGTAAGTCCACAGGACCGGAAAGATCTTTCGTTTTATTACAGAGCTTATCGCGAACAGAAATTAACATTATTACACATCGGAAGTCTTGCGACAATCATATACAAATGTTTACTGATTATGTGTTTATGCTCAGTTTATTATATGTGGTACATTATGGACATACGTGAAGCGTTTCGGACTGGAACAGAACTATTGACATGAATATCAACTCACGTTAATTCCAGCTGTACTGGCAGGTAACCAAAGAACTCAGAAATGCGCTGGAGATACTCTAACCAAATAAGAAAGTAGTCGGCGATATTGTAGTTCTCAATGCTCCGATAGAATTACATCGCTGCCATGTTAGTTATTCTGAAGAAGCTGTCAGCTTTGACAACTCAAAGTAGTTCATGCATCTGATGATGGTCGTTGGTTGTAGGTACTTTAAAAGAGACGAAGAACAGATTTTGACACAACCTCACCCAAATTACTCAGTAATTCACATGTTGAACTGTAAGCGTGGATTTTACAAATTTGTTTGGAGACGATATGGCTGGGACATAAGAAAATCTATTGAGAGGACTCCAAACCGAAACCTAAGTACATCTTAAGTGGAAATGTCCTTCTACATAAAGCCAGATGTTGGCCAGCTTTGTAGTCGTCATTCGTTAAGTATAACTCTCATTCGTCGGAAATTCTTCTGTCTATTTCTTTCGAACATTCGGAGCTGTTTTGCAAATGTACAGCATCTGTAGCGTCAAGCTTTTTGACCGCCAGTTTGCATCAATCTATTTACGAATTTTACCAACCTTTCTCCATAAGTGTTGCTTGTTAACATTCAAACCAACTTCGAATTTAGATGAGACTTAATTGCGAAACACTTGGATCTGGATTTAATTCAACCGTGAGATTGGTGAATACCAGCTTGAACTCTTGATAGATCCGGTTTGCGCAGTCAGTCAGTCCGCTGCATCGTGCGATGGATTTTCCATGAAGCAGTGGATTGAGAGAATAATTGAGTTGAAAATGCGAAATTTCTAGGCTTCCGGTGTGGCTTCATAGCTCAGCTGATAGAGCGGTTGCGACGTTTAACATGTTGTTTCCTGTCGCTGGCTCGAATCCAGCCGAAGCCCAGATTTTCCGTAATTGTGTCTCATTTAAATTATTGCTAGGTTTTCGTTTGTCACCTTTTGCCCTTAATTCTGCAATTGCATAAACATGTTGATGTTCTCTTGCTGAGTTGAATGTTAAGCTTGAGAACAGACTTAGATGTGCTATGAGAATAGGATAATAGATTTGTTTGAAAGTCAGGATAAGCACGATTTTTTTTTCATGGGCTTGAAACCGACGAATGTTAATCAGTGCTTCCTCTCTGCTTTA